ATTATAATCAATTGTTGTGGTGAGATAAGGAAATTGTTGATGATGACGATGACTGCCATAGTAATCACAAGATTCATTACCACCAATAATATTACCACGTCATGGCCATAACAAATCGTAGTCTCGTCGGCGTCACTGAGATTTGCAACCGAGTCGCTACGAGATTATAATCAATTGTTGTGGTGAGATAAGGAAATTGTTGATGATGACGATGACTACCATAGTAATCATTAGATTCATTACCACCACTAATATTACCACGTCATGACCATAATAAATTGTAGAGTCGTCGTCGTCAAGGAGATTTGCAACCCAGTCGCTGGGGTGGTTTCTTGCTGCACTTTCGGCTGCCAACTGTCATCGTTTTCATTATTACAGTATTATCTCCCGTGGGATAATCACTATATTACCATGACGAGAACGCACGAAACGCTGCCGTGTAGCTGAAGTGATTATGATGAACAGGTTGCTGACAATGATCATAGTAACCATGAGATAATCGCATGTGACCGTAAAGATGACGACTTATTTTGAAAAGACTGTGATGATGAGGACAATGATATAGGAAACCACTATAACCAAGGACAGATGATGACGATGATGATGATGATGATGAGGATGCTGATAATGATGATGATGATGATGATGATGATGGTCTGGAGGAGGGGAAGGACGTCCAAAGCAGCAAGAGAAAAAGGAAGGAGAAGGAAGGATAATGGCAAACGGTTGCCATAGGATCATTATCATCATCCATCATCCGCATCATCCACCATCGTCGCCAATCACAATCCCCACAAGGACAGTTTACCTCCGCTCCGACACACTGGCTATCGGATGGCTGACATCACTGCCAATGCCTCTCGAGCTGCATGTCATCGGAAAAAGTGCTACCAGTACTGTCAGTTCCTCGTAATCGAGCAGTTTTTTGCAGAGTCTATCTATTGTACCTTGTGTCCATGACAAGTGGCGCCACGTCAACGTCACATGTAAGAAAAGGGCCTTGTTTCAGCACTCGCCAATGTGAGATGGGCCAATCTATCACGCGACACGTGCCATTTTCATGTGGCGAGTACGCTCATCGTGTCTACGTCGAGCAGTGGGCACATCATTATGAAGCACGTCGAGGACCGACTTGACATGAACCGGCGTTGGCCCATGGTTCGGCTCGATCTGATGCAAGATTTGTTCTGAAGCGCCTGCTTTTTCACTATCCCAACGGTGATGGGAGCTTGATCTGGTGACTTCATGTACAAGGCCTGTACGCTACCACTTGGGCAGGGAAAGCAGTTGTACGAGCACCTTCATTTCATAAGCATGGTAGCACAGTGGTTTGAGCTCTTGCTTGCCACGCCAAGGTTGTAGGCCCTAAACCTCCCTTGGGCACGTTCAATTGGTGGGTTCGATTCGGTCAGCCGTAAACCTCCCTTGGTACAGTTGGGGCTAGGATGGCACCCTTTGTACAGGGCATAGCCAGATCAGTTGATGTAGTAGCTCAGTGGGTTAACCTAGGGTGGTGCAAGGCAGAAATCTAGTGCAGCAGTACACTGAGCCCGGCATTTGGCTATTCGTCTATTCGGCCTGTGGGACCAGCCCGTAAGCCTGATCTCACAGGCTGTTCCTTGTTCGCCCAGTACCAGTCCAGTCCAATCCAGTCAGTCCACTAGGGGTACACCATAGCTGCAGTCTGTCTTTTGATCAGTCTGCATTCTACAATGTGAGTCTTGGAGTATCTAGACTACAGCAAGTGTGAGGTGTTTGCTGTGCACATACACACACACATACACAGACACACAAACACACACACAGATACACACAGAGTCAGCAGGACAGGATCTGCCATCCGGACAGATCCTGGTTCATCAAGGGTTTGTTTCTGATTGGCCCTGGCATCGCATAGTACAGATATTGCTTGGTTGCAGGCTGAAATGGGCCAGGTAGGCCAAGTGGAGTGGACAATCACATAGTTGGTTACCTTAGGGCCTCGCTTTAGGGGGCTGCAGGTGAGGCGAAGAATGGGGATTTGTAGTGGAGGGATAATCTGCTTCCCGTGTTGAGAAATAGACTAGAGTAGACCCAGTTCAGGACACGGATATGGGGGCAAATCATATTGATATCGAGAGCTTAGCAAGGCCTTGTTTGTGGATGTGTTTGTGTGTGCACATG